TTGACACAGGGTCTCCCTGTAGCCCCAACTAGCCTGGAACTCACTATGTAGACCAGGTAGGCCTTAAATTCACAGAGACCCACCTGCCTCTGCCTCCCAAGTGCTAGGACTACAGGCCTGCACCACCACACCCTGCAGGAAGTCAATCTTATTGGTAAAAACCATTTAAAACTTTATGGAAATCTAGGTAATTCACAGTTTCTGAATAGCACAATTTGCAAGTACTGATTTTAAGGGCATAGGTAACTGTTGGCAAGGAAGTTCAGGGTATTTGAATCTCGTTCTAATTCTTCACAGTTTAGAAAGCCCCATGAGGTATGGGGAAGCTATAATTGATTCATTTGTCTGGGAGATTTATGTATGTGTAGGCAGACTATGAAAGAATAGGTAATAAACTCATGTTTAAATTCTTAGATAGAAAACAGTACTAATTAATTTATCACGAAAACACTCAGCAACTATGGACCTGTGTCATAGAAAAATAATGTCCTTTGACATTTGAACTTTCTGGAAGCACTGTCAAAATGAGGTGAGAGCAATCATAGCTATGGCATAATGATATTATATTCTTAAAATATCAATATTTTTACTAAAAAGGATCCCTGTAACATGACCTAATTACTAAATCACATGTTTATTCATCTGACATCATGTATGTGCTTCTATGAAGCCACATCTGTATGGAAGTAAAATACAATCCTTAGGAGATTTAAAATTTGTCAGTTTATAATTGCCTACTTAGGAATTTGTATCTTTTGAAAAAAAATTACAGACAAAGCTTGCTTACTTAATAACTCCTAGTAATTGGGGCAAACCTTAAATATAAAAATATAAAAATGGAGTAGACACCAGGGGAAAACCTGATAATCTCATAATAATCCCATTTTCCACCTGGTAGCTTTCCCGATCGTGCAGGGAGACTGGCTTTTTAAAAACTGCATATCCAGATGGAAGGATCATTGCACTGTATATAACATTAGTGTACTATAAAGATTAGAGCAATATATGTGTCCTTGATGAATGGCAAAGATTAAAGTGATTAGTACCCATAATGGCAGAAACCTTGAGCATGCAGTGTTAACGTGAGTGGTGAGCTTTCTTTTACCTGAAGCCACATGGGTGAGACTCAACAGTGTGATGCTTGTAGCTGTTACAGAGACAGTGTGCTGAGCATTTTACTGCACCACCTTGCTTCTAGTAGTGAGCCTCTGAGATGCACTCAGTATCTCCCCTGTTTTTCAGACAGAGGAAATGAAACAGAGAGACTAAGTAAATCATCCCAGGTTCCCCAGCAGTATTTGGTATCTGTATCCAGGTTTTTACTTCATAATCAATATTGCCTGCCCCCTCCCATATAGATAGGTAAAAGAGAAGTTCCTAGGTTGAGGTAACATTGAGAAAGCTGTGTTTTTAGAGAGGGATTTGTTGGGGCGGGTGGCTTTGCCACATCTCAAAGCTGTGGTGGTTAAGAACTATTGTATATCAGTTATTTCTGTTTTTAATTTGCTTGGTTCGTGGAGCATGGTTTGATCAGTGTCTTAAATTCAGATCTGAAGATTGAATTATAATAGGATTTTAAAATAAGATATTTCATTAATTTTTTTTAATGTGTATGAGTGTATGTATGTGCACTTGTGTCGTGCAATGTCCATGAAGGTCAGAAGAGGGCATCTGATCCTCTGGAACTGGAGTTAGGATGGTTGTTAGCTGCCATGTGGATTCTGGGAACTGAACTCACGTCCTCTGTAAGAGCAGCCAGTGATCTTAACCACTGAGCCATCTCTCCAGTCCCTAATAATAGGATTTTAAAAAAAATATTCATTTTCAATTTGATGTGTAGGTATGTGTGCCTGAGTATGTGTGTGCAGGCACCTGTAGAGGCCAGAAGAGGGCATCAGACACCCCAGAACTGGAGTTACAAGCAGTTGTCAGCTACCTAATGTGGGTGCTGGGTTCTCAGCAAGAGCAGCAAGTGCTCTTAACAGCTATGCTGTCTCTCTAGCCCCTATATTAGGATTTTAATGCACTGACAACTTAATTATCATAAGTAGGAGAGTTCTGTTTCTATACAGACATCCCTGGAATGTCTCACACACACCGTTCGGAAAGAGCTTCCGTCCAGTTTTGCGAAGTTAAATATGCTCACTTTTCTGTAGCATATCACTTTCCCTTCTATGTTTTGTTTTCTTTTAAAATAAAAAAAGCTTAGTTTCTAACCCTATACTCAGTGTCTCTGAAGGTATTTCTGTTGTCTTTTTTATCCCCCTACCCCCTGTTGCTCAAGGACCCCCCGTAAGCCACTTAGCCTTAGTTAGGCGATGACTTGACCAATGGCATGCCTCAGCCTTGAAGGAGAAGGTAAGGCCTCCTGATGCTTCCACATTTCCAGTGCTAGGATGACAGGCGTGCACCACTACATGTTTTTTATGTGGTGCCAGAGACTGAACCCAGTTTTTTGTGCATGCTGGACAAGCACTTTACCAACCAAGCCCACATTCCCAACCCTGGCAAGGCATTTCTAAAAGTTGGTTTCAGGCTTTCATCCTGTGTCCCTCAGATGTCTCCGGCCTCTGCACGGCCCTCTGAAAGGAAAGACACGGTTTGATTTATACATGTAGAGCCACACTAGAGGCAAGTTCTGGTTTCACACTTATAATTGTATGGGGGAAAGATGAGTTTTTAGGTTGGAGGAGGAAAATCAAGGTTCTTTGTGGAATATATCCTACAAAGAGCCCATTGTGTCTGTTGGTTTGATTGAAAACCCCTAGGCGGGGTATTTCTCTTCCTGCGGTTCTGGAAGATTCATCCTTGGCTAGCATTTAGTCACCAACACCAACATGAAGATGTTCTAAGTGGTCCTTGCTGCCTGGTAGGCAGTCTAGTCATTATTTCCACCTCAGTGTTTCATTCATTTTTGCTGCAGCTTAAGGAGTATGAGGCCCAGAACCGGCAGTCAGCTGCCTTGGACCCTGCAGACTGGCCTGATGGCTCCTACCCGACACTGGATGGCTCGTCCACCTGTAACGTAAGTCCATGTCCCTGAGTATCTTGACCATCCATGGCCAGCCTGGATTGGTCAGCCTTTATGTTTCTTTCCACAGGTCTCTGTGCTTAAGGTGTCTTTCCATAGGCTTCTTTACCAGACAGAGGCTCAGCTAAGTCAGAGTCCTGCTGCTCAGGCTGGGCTTCTTTTTAATTGTGGTTAAACATGCGTAACAAACAACATTACCACATTAACCGTCTTTTAGTGTTCAATTCGACTTCAGTAAGTGTAGTCACATTGTGGACCATGATCCACTTCTAGAAATTTCTTATCTTCCCACACAGAAATATCCAAAAAACAGTCCCTGTTCCCACATCTAGGGCCTAGCAACCACCATTGTACTTTGTGTCTCAGAAGTGGATTTGCTCTCAACATTTCTTCTTCTTCTCTTTTTTAAGTCTGAGGCCAGCATTGGTGTTTTCAAGGGTATATCAGAATTTTATGTTTGTCCACAGATATATAATATTCCACTGTAGAGTTATACCACACTTACCCATTCGCCTATTGATGCTTGTGTCTCTATCCATATGTGTATACACATACACACACACACACACACACACACACACACACGCGTAGATGAAATGTCTAAACTTCATATTCTGTGGTTAACTTTTTGATAACTTCTGTATGTTTTCTATACTAACTGCGCTGTGTTACATTCCTACTTGTAATGCAGAGCTTCCCAGTAGAAATTTTCTACTTTCTCACCCACATTTTATATCTTTTCTTATTTTTTTATGCTGGCTGTGAAATGTGATTCCTGTGTGTTTCTGATCTGCATTTCCTTAGTAATTAATGATGTTGCGCATCTTTTCGTGTGTTTATTGGCCATTTGTATGTCTTTGAAAAATGTTTGTTTGAGCCCTTTGCCCCCTTGATTTGTGTGGTGTTTCTTTCTTTGCTATCATCATTGGGACATGGAAGTTCTTTATATATTCCAGGTGTTAATGCCTTATCAGTTATATGGTTTCTAGGTATTTTCTCCCATTTATGGGTTGCTTTTTTACTATGTTGATGAGAGTTTTGATACACAAGTTCTTAATTTCGAGACTCAACTTATCTTTTCCTTTGGTTGCCTGTGTTTTTGGTGTCATATCTGTGGACTCATTGCCAAAGCCAACATAGTGGTGGTGATGATGATGATGTCGACCATGACAGTGTCACCTGTTTTTTTGTTTTACAGATTTTAGCTTTTAAGTTAACTCTTTGAGCCATACTAAGTTAAGAACATTTCTGCTTGTGGGCCTTCAGGTTTACCAGAACCATTTGTTGAAAGTCTGTCTTCTCCCCATTACACAGTGTTGACATCCTTTTTTGGAAATTCGATGACCGTATTTGTGTGACTGTCACCTGTGTGTTTGTTCTTTTACTTGTTTTCATTGTACCTTACTGTTCTGATGACACTACCACCATAGCAGGTTTTGAAATTGGGAAGTATGACTCCTCCAATCTTACCTTTTATAAAGGAAAAGATTTGTTTTTATTTTTTAAGTATGTGGGGGGGCGGGGGGCAGGCAGTGCCCACAGAGGCTAGAAGAGGGTGTTTGATCTTCCAGAGCTGGAATTACAGGTGGTTGTGAGCTGCCATGTGGTTGCTGGGTGGTGAACTCAAGTCCTCTACAAGAGCAGTATGCACTTTTAACCACTGAGCCATCTCTCCAGCCCCTTTATTTTCTAAAAGTTGTTTCTAACCATTTAGGATCCTTTGAGATTTCATATGAATTTTAGGGTAAGCTTTTCTATTTCTACAAAAGTTACCATTGGGATTTTGATCAAAATGGCACAAAATCTAGGGGTTCCCTTGTGTAGTACTGTCACCTGAGTGGTACCCAGTCTTCTAATCCACAAGCATGAAGGCTCTTCCGTTTACTTAGTTCTTTTTAGTTTCTTTCAGGAATGTTTGCAGCTTTCAGTATAAACATTGACTTCTTGATTAAGTTTATTATTTGTTATTATTTTAACTCTTTAATGCTATTGTAAGAAGAATCATTTTCCTCATTTCCTCTGTAGACTATTCGTTGATAGTATATAAAAGTGCAACTGTATTGAATTGTGTTGGTTCTGTAATGACAGCAGAATTGATTATCTAATAGTGTGTGCATGCTTGTGCACGTGTGTAATCTTAGGCTTTTCTATGCTAAAATTATGTCATCTGCAGAAAGATCATTTGACTTCTTCCTTTTTAATGTAGATGCCTTTTATTATTCAGACTGTGTTAATATGACCAAAATAGTGCTTTTGTAAGTAGGATTTTCATGGGGGTCATAGGAATTCTAAGTCTAGAATTTAAAATACACACTGCATGGTGCCGCCCTCAAATAATGTGGAACAAGAGTGGAGGGAGTTACTTGTTTCGTGTATTGTTGTTTTGCTTTGTCTGTTAAGTTATTTCTCCCCAAAAACTTGGAAGTGGCTCTGCCCCTGTCCCTTCAGCCTCCTGTCTATGCCCTGTACAGCCAGTCCTCTTTCTAAAGCAAAGGAATTTTGCTAAATTTGGGGATTTGTTTCAATTATGTGTTTTTTAAAAGCCTTTCTCATTTTCTATAAGATAAATTCCACACTTTTTGGCATATGCAAGACCCTATGGGATCTGACTGTAATAATTTTCTCTGATCTCATCCTTCACTCCCACACTCAATAACCTTCAACCCAGCCACACTGGACCCTGCATGCATTCATTAGTGAACAAACCCTGGGCTTTGGTGCTTCTGAGTTTTAATCCACACAGTTTCCTCTACCTTAAAAGTGTCTTCTGTTTGCTCTCTCCCCTCCTGGATACCTATGCATCCTTCAGAGTGAAGCCCAACTCTTAACTTCCTCTATAAAACTTCTCTTAGCCTTCCTAGAGCGTAATTATTTCTTCCTATTCTGAGCTTTTGTTAAGCCGGATTTATACATCAATCTTAAACAGTTATCCCAGAGTATCAGAAACAATTGCACCTTCTTTCAGCCTCCTTGGAAATAGCAGGCTGTTTGAGCAAAGCAGGCATGCTGTGTTCTTTGCCTCTGCAGTGAGTGCATAGTACAGTGTCCCGCCCACCTTGGAGTGTTTAATAGGCAAAGCTCTATTAGCATTCATCCTTGCTAGCTACTGTAAACTACAGAGTGAGTCTTTTCATCTAAGCAACAAGTGGTAGCTTATCAGAAGTAAATAAAACCATCCTATGTTCTTTTCCCTGATTCCTGAAACAACACCAGACTTCCATAGCAGCTAAAGAACTATGACTTTGAAAGCCCTGCTTGGCTTACTGTTTTGTGACCGAACATTACCATTTAAAATAATAAATATGTCATAGACTAGGCAGCCCTCTCTACTGAGACTATGAGGTCATCTAAAGAACCATGCCCATGGTTTTGAATGTGACTCTCTGGGTCTCTTATCCCAAATCCTAAAGAGTAGCATAAATATCAATCACGAACCCAAAGAATTATGAAAAATCAACACAGTAATTCAAGATGGATGTGACTCAGACCCAGATCAAGAGAAAAGACAAAGACCTGGTTGTCCGCAACGGGTGCGTTACCATCAGGCTTTCTGTATTCTGACCTGATTAATAGCATCTGAGTCAAAGGGAAGGTTGAAAGACTTTGTTCATTTAAAAAAAATACGACTGTAGTAAAACTTCACACACTTAGACTGCAAGCCACTTGTCTTGTGTCATTTAGGAAAAGGTGTTAATAGATGCTAAGTTCTGTGAGCATTTTGTATAACCTACTAAGAAAGCATTATTACATATTGATTTGTTTGATTCCTTTAAGAGGGTCCATCAGAGCCATCACCTACCTATAAACTTTCAAAATGAAATGAATGTCTAAGGATTGAGTATTATTTCCTCTTGAATTTTTCTGTGTTTGTTCATTTGGGAAATATTTATGGACTTGCTTTGGAGCAAGCATAGGGCTAGATGTTCAGGCTTACAAAGGTTAAAGAGAGGGCCTGCCTTGGCTGAGCCTTATACACTTTTAGTTACAGAGGTTAAGAGTACACCCATATTTGTACACAGATTCCAGGTACCACATAATAATTCCATTAGTGACTTACAACACTGTCTCTTTACAAATGACATAAACATAAATTCAGTCTGACAGTCCAGACATCTTCCAGAAACACTACAGACTCTTCCAGAAGCTCTACAGAATGGATTCTCCTTGTAGTGAGAGGTACAGATGATGGTGATCTATGCTAATGATGCGAGCTCCTGAAGAAGTTATTTACGGTGTATTTTTCTAGCTTTCTGCAGACACCCCCACCCACTTAGTCATGCTGTGTTGTGCAGAACTGCAACCAACCAATGTTGTCACTGAGGTTTGCTTGACCTTGATTACAGTCCTAACTTGAGTGACTTTTGCCCCTCTTACCTTGGCTTAAGCCTTTCCTGTGTTTTGATGGGGACTTAGCTCAAAACTCCATCCAAAATATTCTCTTGTTATTCTGAATTTGCCTCTGTTGCAGGGCTGTTAATTTCAGATCCGTCTGTTGTAATCACTCCTCAGACACCATGACTTAGGCAGTGTTCAGTTTTCTATCGATTCCTTTCTATACTGCGATGTAAATAGCTCCCTGACCATAGTTGGGAATGCCCAGACCTTGAAAGTCCCTGGGATCATAAGGCCTTTGTCACCAGACCTCAATGCCTATATTGATGCCTGGCATGCCTTGCGAAGTCATTTGCACTGATTTCATAGGCTCCCGTGCCCCCATAGCTGACATGAGATAATTGTGCATTGCCTCATAATAAATCCATATGCACATTCCTACTTTCTAAGAGTGTAAAGTACTAAAGATAGATACCAGGGGAAGTGAAAAATAGCTTTCTCTTTGCCAAAGGAGCATCTGTTCTGTGCTGTTTTTCATTAATAATGAACTTCTGTTGTGCATGTTGGAGTATTTAAAAGAGGATTCAGTTAAGAATTTAACTTTATTACTTGTTGAATAGCTAAATGTTTACTTTAGTGTTTTTCTTTTATTTTAACAAAAA